GGGGAAGGCTTCACTAACATACAATTGACTTGAATTCCTGCTCGAAGTCTGCTTGCTAAGATGCTGCAGCCTGACCACGCGTTTATAAATTACAGTAGATAACAGGTACAGAAGAAAGACAAAAACTTCTGATTATTATACCAATCCAGCTGGTACCCTCTCTGGTTCATTCTTGGGATCATCCCCTTTGAGGGTCCTACCAATTGCAGGTGTAGACAAGGGCTCCTAACCATGCTGCCCTAAGGATGTAGGCCTAGTCACCCAAATAATTTTGGATTTAATCTAAACAGAGTAGGCATGGTATCGTTGGCCAGTTTGACTTAATGGAAACTTGAAGGTCAGTAGAAGTGACCAGGAGGAAAATGAGGTCTAAAAATTAGTATGCGCATAACAGTTAAATGCCTATATTTTGGAACAGAATAGTTATAGGCATCACAACATTGTGTGAAGCTCACGGAATAAACTCTTGTAAGTGCTGCTGAGTTAGTGCATATAGCGTAGATTATTTTATTGTATGTATTTGGTTTGGGTTTTTTGTTAAAATCCAGGATAAATCCTACTGATAAACAGGGAATAACTTAAGAGAAAATTACATGAAATTTCCTGCGTATATTTTGTTATGGCTGTTCACTGAACAACAGGCTATAGTGAAGCTCTACGATTATAAAATTGTATTGCACTGATTTTTAACCTGAGAAAGCAAAAAACCCCATCCCTTTTGTAAAGTCTCACTACAGGCAACCATGCTTATCAGAAAGCTCCACAGGTTTCAAACCATAAACCTGGAAGTGTCAAATGAGATTAGACAATTTTCCCACTTGAGCAAATTTGCGTGTCAGACTCAGATAATCTCACCAGGCAAACATAAAGCAGATGTTGGCAAAATCCTTTCAAACAACGTTATTCCTCTGCTGTTTATAGAAGCACACACACAGGCACTGGGCACAAAAGAAATTGCTTGCTCAGTTTGCTATTTAAATAGCCAGCTTTTACATGATCTTTATTGGACGTCACACCTGCTCAGTAAGTGCAAAATCTCCTATGTTCTTGGGAGTAACACCTCATTAGCAGCTGCAGCTGAACCACCTGAGCAATAGCCCGCAAAAGGCTGGTTAGCACCAACCCAGAGATATATTTATCATTTGTGAGCTATGAGCTGGAAACTTGGAAATGAAAGCAGAGGCATATCAGAAAGTGGAGAGCATTGCTATATACCTGCATGAAGGCTCATACTATCAGCGGTGATAGTATTAAAATCAAACACATGCGTGCACACACACACACAAAACTGTCTTTTCTGCAAATGCTAATGGATGTTACTACATTTCACGTTCTGCTGAGAGGGGGCTTTATAATACTTCCCCTTCTTGGAGTACTAGCAGCATCCTTCACACCGGCAGTATCATAAACTTGATACCCCTCAGCCCAAGCCAGTTCAGGCAACTAATTTGGCAGAAAACTAATTCCACAACCCCTCAACCCAAACAGCTTCTCCAAACCCATGTTAATTTTTTTTCCCTCCCTTCTGCTACCCGTGAACGTGCACAGGAAAATAACACGTGGGAATATGGAAGAGGGGACAAATGGAAAGGACTCTTCCTCTTGACAGCAGCCTGAAGACAGATGAATTCCCAAACATAATAAAATCATACCTGTAAGACACTTCCATGACTCCCCCTCCTGCCCCCCAGTGCCTATTAGCTTTTTGGTAGATGTTCATACCAGTGAGGTTGAGAATAACACTTTAAATTAGTCTCCTCAGGCCATGATGTAACGACTCCACTTACTGGACACTGACAGAACATATGTGGACAAGTCATGTCTTGTGTATGGCTCCTACCCCCAGCCACTGAAGTTGTCTTGGGTGTTTCCTCAAAATTAATTTTCTGAGAATGAAAATTAAGCAGCTGTTTGTCTGTGGTTTTTTCTCTAGAATAAGCACTCACATGAACTGAAGAAGGTTGGGCTAAGACTGTTAAGAAAAAATAATTGGGTCACCAAATACAACTGGAGAAAACATTAGTGATGTACCCCTGTTGCCTTCCATACATCTGCAATTTCAAAGCATCTTGCTAGAACCTGGTACTACTACTAGGTCCTTCACAGCTGGTGGAACCCAGTTATTGTTTTTCCAGGCTCTATGCTGTGAGGGACAACAGGCAGACAATACCTGAAAAACAAAATCAAAAAGAAATAATAAAATTGGCTTTTAAAATCAGATTTCCAGGCAGCCTATGCAGCATTTTATGTGATCATTATTAACACCACATTTGGTGCAGATTTCTGACTTCCCCGAAGTCGCACATCTTTAACCACCTATTTCTGCAAACTAGTGCTTCACCACTGCCAAACTGCAGAATCCTCATGGCCTTTGTTCACACTACCTACCACAGACGCAGGGAGGAGAAGCCCCTGTGCTCTTTGTCTGACTCTCACCCTCACAGGAAGCAGCTTTCCTTGCTCATCAGTGCTGGTGTCACTTCCCTCCCAAACAGAACTGGGGCAAACCCCTCTTCTTCAGCACAAGATTGAATTGCAGGATTGAAACCACTCCACTCACACTTCTAAACTTTGTCACCGCAGGGTCTTGTGTGTGCTGTGTCTCCCAGTTTAGAAGGACCACAGTACTACATGCTGCCCAACCCTGCACTGACTTCTGAACTGTACAACATCCTCGAGACGTCCTCCTCCTGCCCCTAGGAAAAGGAGCAAGGATACCAGCTGAAGAGTAGAGGTGGCCACATTGAGCTGTGCCAGTGGGCTGAGGTGACCACAGAGTCAGAAGTGCCAACTGCCATCTCTTTCTCTGGAGTGTAATTTGTTCCTCCTCAGTTTGAAAGACACTGTTACACCTTTATCCAGACTCACCTCCCCTGGCATGGTGCCCCGACAGGCTAAAGGGCACGCATACACCTCTGATTACTCATTCACTCCAGCAATTATTCTCTTCACTTATGGCTAACAGTAAGAGTTTAGCCTGCCTGCTTTACATAAGGCACATACCAAGTATTATCTCTCTCCTCTTGTTTTCTTATAGCAAAGCACATTCTTGCTGATGTAATGGAGTAACAGGCTAACTCAGTTCAGCTGCTGAATATAATTGAGTTTCCTTGAAGTTCCTTTGATAAAGGTGATTTGTGGCACTAATTTTTAAAGCATAAGCAGGACTACAGACTTCTGTTACTTGTACAGAATTAAGGGGAGGGAAATGGAGAAAAGGGAGCAGGTAAGGTCAGAGTCCAAAACACTGCATAAGCTGTGTCACTGTGGAAGGAGAATAGGGAAAGTGATGAAAAAAGAAGAAAAAAATAACTTATTTCTATAGTTTTCCTGTGCAACCAAGTATTACAGTAATCTCATGATAGCTGAATAAGGAAAAGCAGAAGCTGCAACAGGGAGAACAGTCAAATCTCACAAATTTCTGTGAGACCATGCTCAGATGGAAACTTGAGACAGGCAGACACATTACAGAACACATAGGGCTCTCTCACGTGCCTCAACATTACAATACTCATCCAATATCCTCGCAGAAGGAAACACCTGAGAAAACTATTAACATTTCCTCAAAAATCCAAAAATTTGCTCTTAACTGTTGTAGTCTGGGAAGACATTGAGTACAGCTGAATAACAGGATGCACATCACCCGGATGCAGTTCCTAACCCTTTGTGTTGGGTACTGAGTGTTGCACAAACTTTGTACTGTGAGGTATGAGCCTACTCACATTATGAGTATCATGTTTGACTAAAATTGATGGATGGAACTGGTTTCTTCCAAATTACAGTACTGAGTCACTTGTTTTAAAAAAGTTTATTTAAACAAAGTAAGTACATTTCACAGAAATGGTTATAAAATGCATAGCATATTATAAACAATACTGTTACTTTATAGATACTAGTTGTTATTATCCTTAATATTGCTTTTTAAAAACTAACCAGAAATGAGAAAGCTAAAATCCCCAGTTATACCATCTTAGGCAATATGAAAAAAATAGTATGATATAACAAAGCAGGTGTCCACTTTTTCATTCACTCTACTGATTGTATTGCTGCATCATTAATTTGCAAGTTCCTATTAGGTAGAAATATCTGGTCCCTGGAGTCACATATGAAGACTAGATTTCCATCAACTGGAACACAAATTTCACTTGCTCAGCCAACTAAAACCCCATGAAACTCCAAGGAAAGTTGACTGACGGTCTTCATGCTGATTAACTTAAAGGACAGAGACCACATGAGTGGACAAAAAACCTAGCAGTTTTAAGTTGTGCAGATATGCCACACCCATACCACTATTCATAAGCAACTTGATTGTAAGTTGGCAAGTCCATACATATTTCAAGCTTGACTTTAATGGAAATGAAATGCCCCATAGAAGGAGACCTTACCATCAGCAGCGATGCAATGCCACAGAAAGTGGAATTGAGCGTTTCTACAGCAGTTGAGAACACCTCAAATATTCAGACCTTCACTTAACCAAATATAGAAGTGTCTGTTTTCTGATCTTTGGGATGACAAGGCACAAATAAGTAAAAATGAAGAGCACAGCACAGATCCATAAGTTAGCTCAGACAGATACCAGCTCATTCACACAACACTTCAGCACAAGTCGTGACTGAAATTCTTTCTATTTACACTTCAGTGACAACAGGCAGAAAGCAAATCCTGAGGAAAAATGAGTCGCACCAGGTTTGCACCAGTGTAAGCAAATCTACAATCAAGCAAACTATAAAATCCATTAATTTACACACAATAGAGAAGGAAAAATCCCCTTATTTTCAAAACATAGATACATGTAGAGCAAAACATATATGTTTTCAAAACACAGAGGTACATGCTCAGGAATAAATTGACTTTCTGCATTATGACATGAGCTTTACAGTAGTTTAAGCTTTGCTTGGACTGAAAAGAAAGAAGCTTGAACTCTGGCCAGCAGAGCTTCTTTGGAACAGTTTGTCAAGAGAAAAGAATGAGGTCTGAAGCAGTCCAAAACCATCGCTGTTTCATTCACCATCTTCAAGTAGTTTTTGCAAGTTGTTCTGTATCTTAGAAAAAGATAGAAAAATAACTGGGAGGCAGGAAGTGTTATATTGCAGTTCAAAAAAACCAAAAATATCTTCAATATACTGCCTGTGTGCATGTTAATTCTGTCACAACTATTCATACCAATGGTATTTATGTTAAATGCTTTCTGCACTAGAGTCAAAGGAAACATCTGGATATGATCAGCCAGCAGTGCACCCAGCTTTTGCACTATGCAATTTCTCCTGCAATTTCCTCCTACAGATTCTCTCCTTCACTAGGTATAAGAAAATAAGACAGAAAAAAACTAGAGCTAGAAAGAAAAAGACAAGAAACCCAATTATTTTGATCTTGATCAAAACCCAATCAAAGCCTCAAACTTCAAAGCTGCAGCTCTTAGGTTTAAGTGGATACTTCAAATAGTTTTGTAACAGCTTCAGCTACACAGCTGGCTACAATGTGTGTGCAGCAAAATAAGGTCTTCTAACCACTAGCAGCCATGTCCCATTTGACAGATTTAGTGTACTGATTTTGGGTTATCTTCCCTGAGTTACACTGAAGGTAACACCAGCCGGTCACATCTGCAAGGATGATTTGCACAGACCTATTTTACACAGCCTATTTATCCACCTCCCCGTCCTTAAAAGCAGAGAGTGGGGAATATAGTGGGTCACATCTCCTGGCACAAGCGCTCTCTGTATCTTAGTAACTTGCAGTCACTGGCTAGAGAAGGTTTAGTCATAGCTACTTTCAGACTTAAATTTGAGGCACCATTGTACTTCCTGTTCAAGGATACCACTTCTTAATCCTGCATCATGATTTCTAGCCCAGAGGTACACCTTTACCAAGAGGGGCATTTCAGGGAAAGGAAAACAGTAAGAAAGACCTAATTTTATGAGTCACTTAACGCATACACAGGAATTTCCTTTTTACAGGCTACATTAGAGTAAGGGAATGAGTAGCAATAGGTCACATTTTCCCTCTCCCAATTTAAAGCTTTATCCTCTGACAGACATGGTGCATTTTAACAACCTGTTAAATACACTTAAATGCCAAAGCAAACTTCTGCTAAGCCACGGTAATTCCTTGGCTCCACATATGAAGTAGAGTTTGTAAAAATCACAAGGTCACACTAAGAAAGTCACTGCAACATACTCTTGCACTGAACATTTTTTAATTGGAGAGTAATTTTTAGTTTTTAACCTAGATAATTTCTGTGCTCTAGTTTACAATGCTGCAGTTGCACAGGAAACAAGGGGAGACACAACAACTTACACTGGAACTTTTATGGCACCTTTGCTGCTGAAGCCAGCTGCAGCCGGTTACTAGCACTTTTCACTAAGGCATACAAAACAGTTAAGCAACTGCAGTAACTCTGCTCAGAGGACATAAAGCTGTTAGACTTCTACCCCTTCTTGCAGCACAAGAGTAGGGTCAAATATCCTGTTCTGACCACTGCTCATCTAGATTAGAGCGGACCGGGATGAGACAATAGGCAGCTATAGGCAATACTCATCTAGCCTGCGTGCACAACAGTTGACTCTGTCTTGAGTATCTGGCAAACACAAGGTAAGACTTTAAGGGTCCAGTCCTGCAGACACTAACGGAAAAAAGCACATGACTTAAGACTCTAATTCAGGGCAGAGCACCACTTCTATGGGAACGGCTGAATGATCTGACCATCCAGCTGCCTCTTAGTGTGTCTGGCTGGCTGGCTTCCCACTGAAATGAAGCTCTCCTATGAACCATCTTGACAGCCTGTTCCAGGCAGCCAGAAAGCAGTAACCTCTTAAATGCTCTTATTTTGGCTAAAGATTGTTATCTGGTAATCACCTGGTAAGCATTTTCCCTTACCCAGAGCATACAGAGGGGCTATGCTAGTATTACTCTAGACTTCTACAGCCACAGGGGTGGAGATGTGGGGGGAGAAAGCTCTTTTTGGCAGTCTTTGTAAAACCTATGCCACACAGATAAATAGTGATATTATAATCCTAGCTTTATGCTATTTGAGAAAGTTGGTTGGGGAAAAAAAGGTGTTGAAAGACCTTGGCATGCACTCAGTTTTAGAAACAGAGGCAAAAATATCCCATGTGACTTAAGCACACAGGGATTCAAGCACCTTCTGTTTTTGCTCCACTAATACTTTTTTTTCATACTTGGCCAGTGTATGTGTTCCTGACACATAACATTTCATACACCTGTACGGGGTGCAGTTGTGAAGGTTGGGGGGGCAGGGGCAGGACAGGGGGGCTGCAGGGGCAGCTGCTGTGGGAAACGGCCCGGGGCTGCCCCATGCTGGACACAGCCGCTTCAGCAGCCTCCAATGGACGCACTGCAGGGCACAGCTGAGCCCCTCAGCCACACTGCTGGTGGAGCACCTGGGAAAGTGTATTAAGAAAGGGGAAAAACACAAAAGAGAGAGAGGAGGAGAGTAAGAGGTTGAGAAAAAGCAGAAGAAACACCAAGGTCAGAGAAGGAGGAGGAAGAGGAGGAGGAGGTGCTCCACGGCAGAGAAGATGTCCACACCGCAGCAGGCAGTTATTTCCTGAAGAACTGGAACCCATGCTGCAGCAGGGGGAAAATGGAGGAAAAAAGAAGCATCAGAGAGAAAACTGTTATGTAGTAACTGTAACCCTCCACCAGCCCTGCTTGGGGGGCAGGGAGTGGGGTTAGGAGTCAGGAGTGAAAGAGTGAGGTCAATCCTGGAACAGGAGGGAGGAAAAGTATTTTTCTATTGTTTATCCTTGTTTCTCACTCCCCAAACCTATATTACTTGGAAATCTATTAAATTTATTTTCCCCAAGTCGAGTCTGTTTTGCCTGTGAAGGTCTGGCAAGCAATCTCCTTGCCTTTACCTTGACCCATGAGCTTTCCTAACCTATTTTCTCCCCCTGCTCTGCTAGGAAGTGGGAGTGAGAGAGCAGCTGTCTGGGTGTCTGACTGCTGGCTAACACTAGCCTACCACAACACCTAAAGTGAAAATAAGGTCTGCACACCCACTCTTGTTTTGCATAGGTTTCCAATTCAAGTCAGAAAGTGCATTTAGTTTTACAATTAGAGAATACTAAAATGTGGAAGTCGAGTATAGGGAATTACACAAGTGGTGCAGCAGCACTTGTGTTACTGAAGTGAAACAGGCAGATTCCAGCCACTCCATATGAAGAGGCCGACTACACATGAAAGCCAGCGTTGTTTTTCTTAATAAAAAAAAAAACCAAAAAAACCAACAAACCCACCTCAAACAAAAGCCCCAGACAGAAAATTTAATCAAATAGTAATAAAGATTAAATTCAGAACCCTTAGCCCTGATGGACAAAAATACCCTGAGACCATTACATGATTACCCCTGAAATATCCAGTTTATTGGTATTCCTGGTTGTAAGCCTCAGTTCAAGGCAAAACTTTTTTACATACTGATACTTGTGCTTGGGCTAATTTATAGTCCATAACCCAGTCCTTTGTCTAGGAGGAAAACATACCAGCTTCTAGTATCAAATCTGCAGGTAGCTTGGCACTTTTCAAAATAACAGACCACAGAAATTCAGCAAGAACCTGATGAGTGCATAAGTATTTGCATTATATCATAGGAAGTTACCTTTTCTAGTTTTATAAGATTAGCAGTTAACTCATCACAAAGGGTATCAGCATTAATTTGCAGATCAGATCCCAAACCTTGGAGCACTGGATGTCTGTCAAACAGAATGAAGAAGTAAGTGTGACAGAAGTGAAAGAGGAAAGCAGAACTAAGAGATACGTGTAGACGGGAATACAGTGGTGACATTGTGAACTATACTTGTTTACAGAAACAAAGGCCTAAGTCACTTCTACACTCTTGACTACATTCTTTATGTGGTCTCATTCTCCAGAAGACTGGATGGAAAACTTACAGTTATTTCAACTGGAAGCAAGCTGAAAAGATGCATAAGTTCCACATGCTGTGACTTGGAAGAAATAAAAAAGCCCAGTCCCTTGACACTGTAGAAGCACACATTAAATCATCCTGCATCTTGTACTGTTTGGGATCAGAGGAACAGAAAACAGGACTTTCTCATGTAAGAGTGCTTCAGAAGAGGGACACAGTGTCTTGCTAATCAAAACATACCAAAAGTGGGAAAATGGCATTTGACATTGCCTGCTATTAGAGGTAGGTTTACCCCTCTTCTTGCATTATTTGTAAAATATAAATGCAAGACTGTTTAGAATAAAGAACCATTTTCTTCCTATTTCTTTTTTATGAAGAACTTAGGTCTGTCTTCTGACACACACATATGAGTCCTACTTCCTACAGAAGACAGCTGAGAGCAGTTGGATCCTAAGCAGCCCAGTCATTGTTTAATATGACCACAAGTGCATTGTCAGAGTTACCTGTTTGTCATTGATGGGTCATCAAAAAAAGCTGCATTAACAAGCACCCTTATTCAAGAACTTGCTACAGGTTTGAACCACTTTGCAGACAGTTCCACCCAGCCTGGGTACAGCTCTGTCCTGAATTTTATTTCTCCCCTCCGTTTTTCAGGTGGTGCTTTATCAGCTGTCAGCATTCCCATTCACACTGCATGTGGCTGCAGGTTTTGCACTGAGATTTACAAATGACTTTTGAAGCCATGTTTTTCAGAGCAGCTCAGAAAAAAATCAGTTTAAGAAGGCAAGAAGAGTTAGTGCAAAACTTAAAGCTGAATAAACTTATTAGTATTCTCAGCAGTATCCAGTTAACTGCCTTCTGTCAGAGCGGAGCAGGAAGCTTATACAGCTTACAGTGGCATACTGCTGTGGCGTATGTCCCTGCACTGCCCCTCTATTTGATGTTTGAGTATTTTCTATCCATGCAACATGGAGATTTTAAAAAAAAATACGCAGCGACAGATGACATGCATGACTCCAGCTACAGAATGGAACTATCAGTGGAGCCATGGCCCCTTCCCATATTTCCTCTCCAAATACACAAAGAACCTTCTGTTTGTGTGTCTGGATATTTTTGTTTGTTTTGGTTTGGTTTTGTAGTGTGGGATTTATTTATTTAATTTTTTTTTTAATTTTATAAAGACAGGATATCAGTTTCTGAAGATGATATAGGCAGCCCAGAGCTTTAGAAAACATTACACAAGCAAGTCAGATATATTAACCCAAAGATTATGAAGTACCTTCTGTCATGTTAGGCTAATCAAATGACATTAAGACTGAAGACAGAAGTCACTCCTTTTCTACAGAATCATTGCTCTGGAAAGAAATTGCTCACTTCAGCAGTTTATACTGATGTTACTCACAGCTATTTGCAACATTCTCAGGGCAGTAGTACACCACAATGTATCAATTTTGTACTAAAAGTCTTAAACAGAAAGCTGTGAGATGAGGCTAGTACAGATATAGGAACCATAGGATGCTACCATACCACAAGGGCACTACAGTATCACAGTGGCTTCTGAAGAAAATAGACGAGCATGACAAATAAGGGGAAAAAAAATTAAAATCCCAAAATTTTACAGAGTGTATCTTACTCCTTAATATGGGAATCAAAGGATGTGATGGAAGTAAGACGTTCCTCTAGGACACTGATTTTATATCTCATGTAGAAGGTAGAAAATATTAATACACAAACACTGTAAGAAAGAAAAATAAGGTACATCAGTTAACTGAAACTTTAGCCATACCTGACAAACCTAATGTTAAAAGCCATTTAAATTATTACTTGCACATGTTGAATAATAAAGGTATCATTCTTAGAAACACCTCAGGAATACCAGTGAGTGGCACTCAGTTAGTTACACAAATCTCAGCCTTGAGTATGGCTTTGATAAGTGACATGTAAAATGAACTTGCAAGTAGTTAAATTCTTTTAAGATTTCCTGAAACAAAAACCCCTTTGCTTTTAAAAGTAAAGGGCCTGTTAACCAAGCCTGCCCCAGCATTTCTACTTCTGGAAAGTATAAAGGCCACAATTCCCAATAATCTCCTTTTTTCAAGTGAAGGTCAGATTATATTAAACTATGTAAACGTAAGACAATCCTAGTATTTTGACAGTCTTGGTATTAATTGCTAACTTACAGAACTGCGTAAAATATAAGTACATGGTTCAGAGATAAGAGCTTCTGGGACTTCACTTTGTGGAGGAACTTGAAGGTTTCAGAATGGCCTGCAAGAAAAAGAAACAAGTGTTACTTTGATCAAAGCAGACCACGGCTCAAAAATGGTGTTTTAAAGCGTGCAACAGATAATATAAACAGAGAGATAAACAAGAAAGAGATCTTCCAGATTGCATGAACTGACATAACTATGCAAACATATCTCAACTAACTGCAGCTGAAGATCTGCCCTTGGCTCCTTACCATTTCGAGGACAGTTTCGGGCGTTTCCATCAGTTCCATGTTTACTGTGTGCATCTGAACGGACAGACTTTGCCTCAGTCTTGGAAACTTTCAAGTGAGTCTGTGTCTCAACGACATGATAATCTGTCAAAACCAAGATTTTTAATAAAGCTGAAATACGAAGTCAAAGGAAGCTGTTGGTAGCTTAAGTTAGTCAATGAGTAGGGGAAGAGGAGGATTTAAAAAGGTGCAATCCTGGGCTTGGATAGAAAGCACCAGTTGGTTTAGTAACTTTAAATAAGTTTGCATAGTAATTCCACATCACCACTAAATATAAAGAAGCACTTGGACTGGAAGCAGATGATGTATGCTGCATTTACATTTCCAGATTCTTTGAAAGATGGCAACCTGCACAAACTTTGAAGGCTATAACTGAATTTACAGTCAGAAGATAATACAGACACAAAACTCATCTCTCAAAAGAACTGAATACGCTAGAATAATGATTTCAAGTTACGTTAATAGCAACATCAAATGGAGATATTGCATTTTTACTTTAAAAAGGAGATTATAGCTCCCTTTCCTGACTGTTTTTTTTAAATGCAGACTATGTCTTGAAAGGGATGGGACAGAAAAATCCAGTCACATTCAGTTTTGTTCATGCTTTACTTGCACACCCTGGACTGCTCTAATGATGCACAAGAAACAGAATCACAAGTGACAGATGTGTTCCCCCTTACCCCTCAATTCCTTTTCCTAGGGTGATTCTTTAAGTGGATATTGTTTTTTCACTTGTAGAAAAGGAAAATGGAAATGTTTGCAGTAGTTGTGGCCACAAGGAAGTAAGATAGCAAGTTAAATCATTATTCAGAAGCATTCATGTGGCAAGTGATGACACCACAATTTAGTTACTGCTTCACAAACACCACCAAACAATTAAAAATACACATAGAGTAATTAACAAAGACTAATGAAAGCAAACAGTCCCAAATCATACCACTGAACAAAAGATACATAAGAAAGAGAGCAGCTAATTAAAACTAATGTGATGGAAAACTGCTATTAAAAAGATCATAGCATTTCATTTGAAGGTAATGGTAAAAGTTTCTTATTATACAAATTCTTTTATAGTCAAGACAGAACCTGGAGTAATAACAACATAACAACACATTAATATGTTACTATATATTAATTGTACAGCAGATTGATACCCTCGGTTTTGCTAATAACATTCAGCATGTGCTACGCAAACCAAGCTCTGGTGTACTTATGAACTTATATACAGTGAGTTTTTACACATCATTCAAAAAAAATGTGAAGAACTTAAGGCTACAAACAGTACTGTTAAGAAAGAATAGCTTTAGACAGTATTTTCAAGTGTCTTAATAACGGTAAAGAATAAAACAAGGGTTAAAAAACCAAAACTACAAAAACACGTCAAAAATAACTTTTTTGATGACCAAAAGCCATCAAGGTACAGAACATTTTTTGTATAGATTAGAGTAAGTTACACTGTGACTTGAACTACTTTATAGAATAGTTTTTGTTTGTTTGTTTTCTTTTTTTTTTTACATGGAGGAATGTCTCCTACATTGCATCTCTGCTAGCATAATGGATGGGGTATGTGGGGAGCAGATGGTGCATGGATAAGCAACTGGAGGCCGTAGCGACGATTCAAATCTGCTGCTGACCAAGCCATTGCCCGAGTCTGGATTGAAAATGGGATGTAATATGGAAATGCATCTACTGGGGCTTTGAAGAAGACCTTAAAAAACATGTAATTCTCCAGGACTGTGGAGAATGTATATTCCACATCAGAAGGGGACTACAGAACCAAAACTGAGAGCTAAGCCACTCTAATTTGTTTGGGGCCCCATGATCCCGCTCACCTTGGAAGCATTCCAGCTCTGGAGTCTGTGAGCCTGTGCTGCTGGACTCTTCCATCTCTTGTCTCCGCTGCTGCACTACTCCATCCAGATCAGAATAGTCTTCATTGAAATCCTGATGGGGAGGAGACACAAGAAAGCTCAGCCCTGTTCTAAATCTAAACAAACCTTATTTTCTCTGACCTCCCTCTAGAAACTAAACCAACAATTATAGATATAAAATTGTTTAACCAGGAACAACCTGTGAAATCAAGATATTGAGATCAAGTTAGCAAAATAAACCCTGTATGATCACCAGCATTCAAGTCCTTATCCCCTGCCTTCCTTTAAGCGAAGAGGTTAAATCTGAGTGCAAAAGAAAGACTGTTAAGTTAGTCTATCTGAGAAGTTCAGAACAAGCACTACTAGAATTAGACACTGGTCATCGCATGTGGCTACACAGGTCTTTTGGATGTCTGAACTGGCTCACAGAAGAAGGATTGCAACTAGAAAAACTGTTCAAGGCAGAGGAAGAAGCAACTTTAAGTCAGTACAGAGTGCTGTGAAACCTGACTGCTAAGGAAAGATAAGTAGAGCATACAGACCTTGGAATATACCCACAGCATATGCAGGTATATAGACATATACTGCATGTGATCAGATCAGATTACACCTGTGACAATCATTCCCACTGCTTCCTTATGTTAAAAAACTCATGGAAGTTTTACAAACAGATGTCGTGACTTCAGTTTCCTTTCTTCAGACATTATAAATAGTACTTGCAATGAATGGTGCCATGCAACAAAAGAACAAACATCCAAGCCATTTACCAAGGGCAGAGTTGTAGGACGATCAGCCCTGAAGCTGTTTTCTGCAGAAGAGGGATTTGGACTGTTGCCCATGCTTGTATCCTGAAAAAAAGCAGCACTGTTAACAAGGAACACACTTAGAAACTACATAGCATTTAAAAGCAGAAAAGCAGTAATAATGAACACAAAGCTACACACCATCTTTACTTAGTACTTACATCAAGATGTCTACATATAGATTTTAAAAGCTTGTAGGTGGTATCTCTGGAGAGCAAGGAGACAAACATGTACTGAAAAAGAGAAGTTCCAAAACTTTTGAGAAAAGGTATACAGTACAAGCTTCCTTTTATCTAAGTAAAACTAACAGGTGGTTTTCCTGATCAAGTAACTGTTTCCAAGAACTTCATATCGCAGGAAAAGCCTCCAATCCTTCTAAGCCTATGACCTGAGGTTAATCACAAGGAACAAAGAACAGGCCCTTAAAAGTTACCACGTTCTGCTGCAGGAATCCGAGCAGTTCTTTTTCAAAAAGACGTTGCATACTATCTTTTACCTACCTCTTAAAAAAAAAAAAGCAAAACAAAAAACAAACCCCAAAAAAACACCCCACAACTATTTTTTTTTTTTTTGTACAGGCTTCTGCATCTACAAAATATCTGTGCAATGAAAATGGGCTGGTTTTAAAGCTGCTCTTAGGATAATCACATTTTCCACCAATTGATGCAATTACTGTTCCTGATTATCACTGTAAGCAACTGTATTTTGTGCATCTAAGGTATTGCTGATCAGGTAAGAGACCCAAGTAAATGGAAGAATACTGTCAGAGCTGCCAACAAGGCAGGTAACCCTCTGTGCATGCACCTCCTGACCCAGCTGTTTCAGTTTCCCCAGTGCTACTGCACAGCAGTCTTGAAGAATGGGGAACGACAGATTAGAGAGAGCAGGTGGCAACTAGAGATTCCGTTTCTTATTTTCTGACCAAATTCTACATAATTTTCTTTACTGCAGATCCAAAGAAAAAAGACAGGGTGATGGTAGACAGAAAAAAAAAAAAAAAAGTCCTTGCATGTCACAAGAGAGGAGGCAAAAGCTAGAATTATACCCTAAGAAACCCTCTAGGGTCCTAAGTCTAAATGCCCACATGCGACCAATTCCTATAGCTCTTTCAATGGCCACTTGGCACCTTCAAGAATCTCTCATATCACTGCCAATAAGTCGAGAGGAAAAAAAAAAAAGTAGAGAAAAAAAGAAAAAGAAAGCAGGCAGACTGCAATAGCTTCTCCCTCTATCAATACTTACCCGGTCTGTGACTGTGGCTATAATCAGAGCATTTGGCACAAGAAGGGCAGTTTTGGTTTTCTTCAAAAGTGTCACTGAGACCACAGGTATACTAATCTGAAACAAGATCAATGTAGTGTTAGAGTCCCAATACATGCATACAAATCTGCATGCTCTTTCATAATGAACCAGCCTGACAACTGTGACATGCAAGACCTTCAACACACTTCACTAAAGATTTCTCCATCACGTCCCTGATTACTAATATTTGGTTTTATATTATTACTATTTACTAATTATTTTTGCTTCTATTTTTATAAGATGCCAATTCAGGCTTTTATTTATGCTTTCCTTTCCTAATCCCTTCTGGCTGCTACAAGACTACAGGCTTGGTTCACTGTAGATCTGCAGAAAAAAACAGTCTGAAAGCTAGGCCTCTTTGTTTAGAGACAAAACATTTCAGAACACGTCAGACAAGACAGGCTTGTTGAAGAATGAACATAAAAGTCTCCTCACCATTTACAGATCCTTTAGTCTGCAACAAGCAGCTGGGTAAACAGCTCATCCTTCAGTCATGTTGAAAGATTCAACACCCACACACTCTCTGACTGACTTGAACTGATTCCTCTGTGTGCCATCCAGACTGTCTACACTGACATTGAAAAGCCCTCAATTTTTCTTCCTGCTTTGTGTTTACATCCAACCCCATTAGCTTAATGCCTGCTAAGTTTCAGAGTTATTTCACTTCAGATACCTGTATGGGCTCTTCTTCTAAACCCCATATTACAAGAGATTGAATACCTGGTTTGACTTTCAGTTGAAAAACTTAGAGCTTAGCAAGATAGGCAAATACCATAATGCTAGATACAAATGATTAGGATACAGCTCCTGTTAGAAATTCCTTTGGCACACACTGTCACAACTATCTGAGAAATTTGGAAGCAAGATCAAAGGTGTCCAAAGACTGTTCAAGGAGCAATCACAGTGCTGAATTAAAAACACATATCAATGCAGACGGAGAATTAAGTTACTTTGTGCAGTTTCATAAAACCTTGTTAACTTTTATTCAGAACAGCAACACAAAGTCATGAAACGAAAAATGTCTTCACGTAGCAAAAAATGTATTTGCATACATTAGTCTGTGTGCAAGATTGCCAACCACTATCAAAACAGCTAGTCAAGTATCCATCTGTCATCTAAGGGCTAAAAACATGCTTTTTATTCAGTACTTAGCTTTGTTAAAAAAGTGTGCTAGCAGAAAAAAACCAAACAAACCAAACCAACCCAAAGTATATAATTTTAATTACTCTTAGTCCCAGGCCTGGGTCTAAGAATCTGTAAATCAGGTCATCATTTGTTCTGTTGATTTTTTTAACATGTCAACTCTATTTGTCCTGCTTCAGAAGCCATGTCTTTTGAAAATGGATAATTAAACAAGTCCTCCACTTTACATTTTCTTCTTAAACTGGGCATTGCATTGTTCCATAAAAGTTTTTGCAACACCTTTCAAAACAACTTCTTCTGGGAGTGTGGAGAAGAGAGCAGCTACGATGTGTGTTTGATAGGAAAAACCCAGAACCTGAGGTAGTCTGAACAGAACCTGCGTAACTTAAAAAAAAAAATCCAAACCAAACCAATAAACCAAAGAAAACCAAAACAAAACCAGAAGATTTTTTCAGCAGAAATCCTGCTAATAGTAATAATAAACAAAACAGCTTAGAAGTTTTCTAATTGGTACAGTTCACCTCAAAGAACTTTAAATCAGAGATATTAATGGCATTCTACTGCATGCTATTTTGATGGATAACATTGCTGTAACTGACTAACGTGTACTTAAGTGGCATTAAGTACTTGCTTACTGCACTGTTACTCGAGCATTAGATTAAAATGGTAAAATCACTGCAAAGTATTTTGTTTCTATCTGGAGTAATAATTATTTCAGGAAACAAGGTCTACCTACACGCAACTTGGAAAGCAACTAAAATGTGTAAGACAATGAAAGACTCAAGGCCAGTATATATAGCCAAAACAGAACAACCTGGAAAGACAGTGATTTCTTTCAAAGCCTATTCAATCCTGCAAAAGCAATATTTTACTTTTGAATATGCACAGTGTTTACACTGCAGCTTCAAATTTCCTGACTTGCATGGCTATTCCTTTCACCGAAGCTTTCAATAAAAAAAAATTCTGCATGTAGAAGAGTTAATGTTGAAAAAATTATTAGAATGTGTAGACCTGCTATTTCTCACAGTAAAAGACTTTATCACTACACTAAAATTATTTTCAAGTTCTAAGCAATAAACGTATTGTGTCTTGAAAACTGTCAGTGTATCTGACTGCTAAGAATGTTCCTCTTACTGACTTTTCCTCCTCCCCCTCTCATTACATTATTTTTCGTTATATCCCTGATCTTCCTGCTTTTTTGTTGATGGCATTCCTAAAAACTTGTACCTGCTGTATGAGACTGAACAATGCTTTACATATGTGTTGCAGGGGAAGGGGAAGACAGTGGAAATAAACAATCAGGCCTATTCCCTTCACTCTCAAATTTCCCCACGATGTTTTCTGAAAACAATGACCCAGAACTGAATAATTTGGACTATTACTATAGCCACATTTAGAAAGACTGTCCACTCTACCCTATCTTGTAATACGTTTTCCTTTTTCATCATATACATAAATATGTATATACTCCTGCATTTAAAACCCTGTTGACAAAGATAATTTCCTAGTACTACATCACTACCATCCTCCACGTTTTTTTCCAGGTCTTTCTAGTCTGCTTAGTAGAGTTCAACTGGATTTTTGCATGCATTCAGCATAGCTTGAATTTGAAAGCTGTCCCACAGTTTGAAGTAATCACATTTGTTCGTGGTGAACAACCACATCTCGTGTGTGCCACATGTCTTTCACCAGCATACACACAATCCACACTAATGTACTGCCTATGAGTAACAGAATCACAGAATCATAGAATCATTAA